TTGGCTAGCGGACCAGTTGCAGGGCCTCGAAGGACATTAGACCCGAGAACAACAGGAGCGCATTGTCGAGATGATGTGGTCCAGGGAACCCCAGGCCTGGGGAAGGAACATGCCAGTGAACTGGGCAGGAGGCGTGAGAGCTCCGAGTGGTGCAATCCTCCATTCCTCCCGGGGTGCCCACGTCCCCCCCTCCCCTGGCCAGGCGCGTGTCTGCCGCCTGCTCTCGCACAACGACGCCGCAGGGCAGCGGCAGCGGCCGCCGGCGGGCCTCTCGGCGCTGCCGGTAGCGCCGGGCCCCGTCGCTTGGCTCGTGCGCGCCCTCAAGCTCGACTGTTGCGGCTTGGGTGCGGCAGCCGCCGACGGCGCGGGCAGCGGCACGCTGCGCGACGCGCCGCACCGTCCCCTGCAGCGCGTCGCATCTTCAAAAGACCCGGCGCCCCCGCGGCCTCAGCACAATCAGGGCTTGGGCCGCCCGCCTTGAGGCGTCGTCCACGCTGTCCCCTCGGGTCTGTGATGCTCTCCCCTGGTCTGGTCGTACTTTATGATCTAGGCTGTGTCGATTTCGCCGGTTGCACGATTTGCGACAGCGGCTCAGACCGAAATTCTGCGAGGATAACTCCTTAATAACTGCCCCTTCGACGTCAAGGGTTCCTGAAGGCGGGGGGCTACGCTGATACTCCGGGCCGACACCCGTCCTACCCAGTGGACTACTCGCAGATACCCTCGATGGACAGGAACGTGCCGTCCTGCGGGTCCCGCACAACCTCCATCTGTCTGGTCACGCAGCTCAGAGGAAGAATGGGCCCAAAGATGTGCGGGAACGCAATCGGGTTCGGATTGCTCTCCGTCGGAACGGCCGCCACCATCTTGACGGGCGACGTGAGCACCGCGGTGTCGATTGCGAGGCACAGAAACGTGCCCTCTATGTGTTTGTAGATGAAGCCGTGTTTCGGGTGCCGCCAGTTGAGCACGCCGAGCAGCAGGTTTGCTTCGTGGGTCGCATGAATGAAGCCCTCGATGTCGTAGCGTGGCGGAAAGTAGTTGACGCCGGAGGCCAGCGCAGCGTCCCACAGCGACTTTTGGACGACGTGATAGATCACGCTCGGCGTGCCCTCGTCGTGCAGCGACATGTGCTGGCGGCGCCACTGGCGGCTCTCTCCGGCGGCGAGAAGGTTTGGCGCGCGCGCAGGCGGCCTTCCGCCTCCTGCCTTTTGACAAACTGACGGTTGCGCACCCAGGCCGGATTCGAGAGTGGCGGCGGCGCGGAAGTTTCTTTATTTGCACATCGTGAACTAGAGCACCGCTGCTGATTGAAAAACCGCCAATGGCAGTTAGCGGACGTCGCCGCGGCTCGTCTCTGCCGCGGCGGCTGCTGCGCGCACGTGGTGGCGCCGCTATCTCGCGAGACGGCTGGCGACGCGGCTCGCGGCCGACATACGCTGCGCTCGTCCGACCGCCCGCGGCGTGGCGTGCGCGGCGCTGCGCACCGCTCTGCGAGCGCTTCTGCGCTGCTTTGAGTAAAGTCCACTGTATATGAGCTGCTGCCTCGCTGCTGCGAGTTGACATATCCGGTGATGTGCGAGCGTTC